AATCTTACAGCGCTTTATATTATAAAAATATCACAGTCACATTATCCTGAAGAGTGATTAACCGAGGAACTTGTCTTATCTATGCTAACGATAAACTTATAATGTCATTTAATCGCGCGATTAGAAACATCATTTTGGTGTATTTTAATACCTAAGTAACTACTTACAATATTCTCGTAACAACACATATAGATTCTTCACGTAATCTCGTAATTGTTTTAACAAAAAGATAATCTCAAACGTAAAAATGATCAATCGAACTTGATCATTTTCTTATCGACACACCCACACTTCGTATGTTCCAAAGCGTGTATCACTTCATGATGCCTGTCACGTTGCCTATCGATCGTGTGTTTCACCATGAAAACGAGGCTGACGTTTCTGGTCCCGATGGGTGCGCAAATTTGTTTAGGATCCGGACAGCATCCGGCTCCGTCGCAACGCGTCAAAACGGTAGAAGCAGGATAGAAAATCTCGTCGGGAGTAGGACCAACGGTTAAAAGATCTGCCACTGGAACAGCTCTCGGTTGAGGCGTCGAACATCGAAATTCATGCACCAGTTGCACGTGATTCAGAAAACCCCCGTCTCTGTAATTGGAAACAATTCTCTTCAATACATCTGTCAAAGCCACGTGACCAACATACACTTCAATTTATATACACGTATGATGTAATAATTTACCTGTGATGTCTGCCATTCGTTGCAAATGCAAGATGAATAGAGATTAACAGTAAAATGAATCTTCTCATCTTTTTTTTTTCCTCAATTGTCTTTCACAGTTCAATCTGGTCGGCGAGTGACCAATATCTTCACGCACCTCTAAGATCACTCGCAATTGTCCAGGGACGAGAACTGCGATCTGAATTCTTTCTTCCTCTATATATATGTAACTTTCATCCTCGGCCTGATGCCCTCTGCCTCCCCTCTTTTTCCGATTTCTCATCGTCTCTCTTCGTTGATCTACCTCTCACTGTATCGTCTCGTCCTGTCCTATGGCGGTTTGCACCGTCTCCCCCTTGTTTCTTGGTAAGCTCGACGAGGACTCGAAGCAAAGCGTTCTGAGAACATCGCGAAGATAACTATAATTACAACTAGTGGGTTCTGCCTCCCTTTCGAACTGGAACCGTGTTACGTCGCGTGACTAGCCGTCCTTTCCTCATCAATCGTCTTCTCTTTCTCTCATTTTCTCCTTTCGTCCAATCTCTCCCTCCACTTCGTACTTTGAATCAGCCAAATTTCGACCAGTCATCCGTCAAATTATCATCATCTTGATACTCCCTTTCGTGCTTTCCAAAGACACTCTTCTTTCGTGCATCGATGCATCTTGTTCGAATTTCCTTGCTTCGGGCCAATTTTTCTGAATACGTAGCGACCTCGATTCAACAAGTGAAATTGAAAAAAAAAAACGAATAAAAAATTACTTCCAGCTAATTTATATATATTTCTTTTTCCACTTTTCATGTTTTTTTTTTGTACACAATAACTTGTTGATACTTTTGTGTTTTATTTTTACGGGAAAGAAGAACTGAATGTTGAAAGATTCGGATGACAATACAGGATGAACCACTGTGTGGAACGGCATGGTATGAAGTACCACGGATCTCCCCCGACCTGCAGTGTTATATGATGCGACAGGTTGCAGTGAGTCATCGCGCACTGCAACCGTCTGCGGAGTGTCTGATTACAAGGTTCATTCATAGCATTCTTTTTATTTTCACAAAAGCCTTGAGTAGTACGAGCCAATTTAATGTGTCACCATTTATCGAACGTCCGCCCTCGCGGTAAATTTCCTATGTGAAACGTGACAGTGGACATCGGTTGCTTAAATCGACACTCAAGACTACACGAATATCCGTTAACAGCTATTCGTGGAACTGACTCAATGGTATGCGAAATCGTGAATCTATGAACCGTAAATGGAATTTCAAACGTACGTGTACCGTTTGGCAACCTTGAAATTATGGTCAATCTTAATAGACGTCATCGTTATTAAAGGGAAATCACTCCTTTTTTTCTTCTTTTCTAAAGCGTAATCTTGATGTTAATGATACTCGTACATATACGAGCCCAAATGATGTGACTCATATCGTCGTTCGATTTAGCTATCAGAGCTGTTTCATTAATGTATTTAGTAAGACTGGAAATTACTAATATTGCTGTTGGAGTAATTAAACAGTACGTTCTATTTATAGCAGAAATGAGTAAGCACATTCTGGAAATACACACTGGAGTAATAATATTAACTGTATGACTGAACGAGCGCAGAATTACAAAAGAGTGTGGTCGAGTATTGCACCGTGAGGGATATCCCCGTTACGTCAAATGAATCCGTAACTGGCTAAGGTAATGCCTCACGCACATTTTTACTATTAATCTGTCTCGTAACAGGAACTATGGTGTCGTAACAGATGCATAAGTTGTGTTTAAGGAAAATGCGTTTTTCGCAAATGCCTTTTCATATGAGGAAACTGATAAATGGAACAGAAATAGAATGGAAATTATTGGACGGGAAAAAAATTTGGAAAAAGAAGCGTACGATGTAAAGGAAGCGTGTGTTTATAAATACGGAGGTACAGGAGAGAAAATTAAGACACGACTAAGTGTGTGACGAATCGTAAGATAGAAACGAATTTCACCTGAGTGACCACTGGCAAACTTGATGTAGAACTGGTCAGTCGATGATTCACCTGAATCTACAATTAAAAAGTGAATGTTCTCCGTATTTATTTTTGGAAATGAAAAAAATTCTTAATTTTAGCAAATATTCCATGAAAACTTTGTGGAAGTGGAATCTATAATTGCACAATAATGTGCTCTTTTTTTTTTATCTACATTCGGTTCCGATGTTCTCTGGTATTAAAACCGCTATTACGTTATCAAACAAGATCCACATGTGAGTTTATTAATAATTAGAAGGTCAATGTACTAGTCCACACTGGTGTAAGTGGAGCAGTATGAATAATCGTTAAAAGGGCTATCATTTTATGAAAATGAGTAAGAGTGGAACGTCATATGGAAAAGTACGAGGAAACTTGTATCGTGAATAGTGCCCTCTGATTATAGTTAGTATAAAAATCTGCGAATGGAATACACATAAGAAAATAAAAAGTGTAACGAAGTTAACCGGTGATTCGGGAATGAGAAGTACACTTTTATCACGGATATCCCCGATGTTTTCTTTTGATAATCATCTGAAATATTCTCGGTGTTACTTTCCTAACTGAAAAGTACAAAAATATGGTGCATGTTTAAAGAATGATAATAAACATAAATGACCGTTTTTGAGATTCGTCGAAAGAGCTTGAACAACAGACAAATATTTAGACAGTCAAGTGCACCTCACGTTGTGGATCGTTTAACAAACAAAACGTACGTCTCAAGGGATCGTTGCAGGAGTATAATTTCACTTTGTCCGCTTCTTCGCTACAAATATTCGACCGTAAAACATCGTTCTACCGTAACCGTTTCTGAAAAACTCTGAAACTGTAACGAAGGCTAATGTTCCTTGAAATTTCAGAATTTTTAAAGAAAAGCCTCGAATGATTTCGGAAAGAGGACCGAGAGCATCGGTGTAAAGCAGTGCCCAATTTATCGAACATTCATTGAACCCGAGTCTCAATGAATCACAGTACTATGAGTCAATTGCAATTTCAAGAAAAAGAGAGGAAATAAATAGGTGTGTCAAGTTGAACGCGTACAAAGAGATCTTCAGTTATCACTATAGATTTACCGATGAAAATTATGCAAATTTCAATGTAACAATCTTATTTCCGATTCGATTACAACAATCGTGCGGAGAGCATTGTACTTCTAGAAACACTATCGATTGCTCAACCAGTTATGAGGAATAATATAGACATTCTGTTACTCGATAAAAGGGGGGTGCTAAATATATGTAACAAGACGTTTAATGCACGAGAGATACAATGTTTCGTGTAGTACATCGATAGATTAAAAGTCGAAGTTCGACTTTGATATAAATTGCGCTCCTCCTCTTATCAGAAGGTTAGTCGATCTCGCTGACAAAACATGTCGGAGAGAGTAGCGGATTATAAGAGTACTGTGCGCCAATCTATGCTCGAGGAACATCTGAAATTCTGGAATATTTATAGAACCGCGATTTACTTGTCTTATATTAAGTTATACGAGTTTTGTGGCTCGCGAGATCAGTGTATCCGGTACTTCGTGTTCTGATCAAGGATGGAATATGTGATGTATAATGAAGAAACCGTGGCGATTCCTATGCATCAGGATATTTAGAATTATTTCACAATTGTTTAAGTGAATAATTACCGCAGAATCGTAGGATTATCGGATTTTACGTGTGCATGAATCTCTATTGACGCGCGTATACCTTGCGTGGAGTATGGTGTGCAAGCTCTTCCACGTATAAATACTCTTCTGGCAGCAGGAAAGTCTCAGTTGAACGCCTCTTGATACGACTACCTTGTCGGTGGGTTCGTGTAATTTGTCTTACAAAAGACACACAACTCGAGCGTGTCCACCCTAGTTACCACGCTGAAGAGATTTGCATTTACACGTTGTGATCCTGAAGAAATTGAAGTCACTTTCAGTCAGTAGAAGTTGTGCGTGCAAGGATAATCCTAGTGATAACTATAATTCTGTCAGTCAGAATCGAGGGATAAATTATCAGGAACGAGGCATGAGAAGTGGATCATTAAGATCTTCTCTATTGAAGTTGATGATACTCGTCCCGTTGACTCTGGACAATATGATCCTATCAGCGGCGGTAAACGGCGAACATCATCATCGGATAATCAAGAAGATTCATTTACCCCGCGCGGTAGAGGCGTCCAGGAAATTTGTTTGCAAAGAACCACAAACACGCGCGTACAATTTGAAAGACTTGATGCAGGACGTTCACCAGAATCCTGGAGAAAGTGCAGTTCAGCCTGTCTACATTATATTGAAAAGATGTGATGCACATGCTGGATGCTGCATGAGTCCGGATATGAGCTGTTCACCTGTATTATCGGCAATTTACTACGAAGAGGTCGAGATCGAGATCTGGAGCTTAGAGACGAATAATACGAGAAGACAATGGATCAGGGTTGAGCAACATAGTAAATGTTCTTGTGAAGTTACCACGATCAACGATCGTTATCGGTTAGAACACCAACAGCCTAAAGTGACTCTTATTTGATGATAGTCGATCAGGAACGATTTTCGCTCGTTTTTACAAACGAGTATTTTTCTTGACAATAATAAATTACACGAATTATAAATGACAGTATTGTACTTATAAAGGAACAGAAAAGACTGCAGACAGATCAAAATAATTAAGAATAGTTAGCGTAGTCATCTTTCTTGGCTTTAATATACCGGCTCGGTTCTGAAACATTCAGGCGTGAGCGTAAGTAATGTCTACGGGCAAAGAAAGTTGGCATGAAGCCCAGCAACGTGACTGTACAACATCGAAATGTCCCGGAATCGGTGGTGGACACCTGTTTCACGAGGAATCAACATAGACAACGCTGTTTTGCGACGAAGCTTTTGAGGTTGAAACTTTAACAATGTACAACATACGAGCGGATTCTTAGAAGTTGGAAATATTTAATGATCTATTTATAGGCATAGTGGAATTATAAAGTAAATGGATAAAATACTTCAGGGTTTATATTTTGGATTATTCTAAGTTTAAGGCATTTAAAGTATTTCATTGAGCGAGAACAATATGTAGAATAATGATTAATTTGATTAGAAATTTAATAAGAAAAGGGTTTCGGCAATATCGACCACAAGAAGTAAATGATTCATTTAACTAGTCATATTTAATACTTTATCTTATAATTATCTTTAATAGCATTAAAACAATAAAAGGGGCCAAAGCGTATTAGCATCTTAGAGATTACTATGAAACTTTTATAAAAAAAAAAAGTTTAATATTCATTATTGTGATATTGTTTTATTTATGTAGCAGTAACATCGAAATCATGATATTGCGAGATTTCATTTTAATTTAATTGAAAAATGAGTAAAACAAATATTTATTAACTAATTGTAGTAGCTACAGTATTTATATGTATGTATATTCGTCAATATTTATAACTCATTTCTAGCAAAACATATACAGTAGAGTTCCGATTATCCGGTACCCCATTAACGAACCGGCACATTTGCCCCGACTATTCTTCGGTAATCGCCGGGAATTATATTCCGCACAAACAAAGAAGTCACGGTCACATGTATTCAACAGTGATACCGATACCAAACAGTTGAATTCATGTGTTTTACAATATGTGTATTGTGTATACACATATATGTAGCTGTATCGTAACTTGGATCCATGGTCGTTTTCTAAATTATTTTTTTCGTTATTACCACTTCATAGGTGCACTGCCTCGGTCCCGAGTGTGCCGAATAATCGGAATTCTACTGAATAACTTTTTTAAACAATACAAGATATTTAAGTATTGAACGAGTATTAATAATACTACTTCAAAATACTGCTAAACTAGACAAGAGACTGATGTATAAAATATATTGCATTTTTCGTATCTTCTGGTACAGACACAAGTACCATTTATTTATTCTAATAAGATTGTATTCAAATAGGTATCGTAAAATTTAGATATTTATTTTATACTATTTATTGATAACTGGAAGTTAGAACATATATGTAAATGTATATATGTTCAAAATGTATACTTATGCGACTGATGGAAAAGGTAGTAAAATTTATACCTAAATTTGTAAAATACATGAAATGCAACACACTTGTATAAAATAAAATACTTCTTGTACGCGTCAAACATTTTTAATGAAACTTTCATGATGGATATTGCATAAATGATTGAAACCGTTTCTGTCGAATATCTTGTACAAATGTTTTACATAAACATATTTTCAATGCAATATGTAATTCGAGAAATGATTACATAAAAATTACTACTAAACGTAAATAAATAGGGCAACTTAAATGCTATCTATAGTATCCATTTTAATTTCCCAACTTTGACAACTGAAAAGAAGTCTGAAATAAAGGAATGTCACTTGTGATTCAAATAGATGTAAAAAAAAAAGCATTACACTCTTAATTCTGTAGTGTTTCGATTTTAGAAAGATAGACATACACTGCCATTATAAGAATCATATGATAGTTTTGTCTAAGTTTAGGTATAACAAATGTCACAATGACAAATGTATCTGTACAACAAAATCATCATTTATAACGTTAAATAAAAATATTCTCATTTGGAAAGTTGATATATTAACAGTCAACGTTTCTTACACCGTCTGTGTACAAAGACAGCAATGTGCATTTTTTCCACAATTTCGTATATAAAACAATTTAGTTTTAGAATCGCGCGTACGAATATTTGGAACGCATTCGTCGCCCTCTTGTTCCACGTCCTCTTCCTGTTTCACTGTTTGCTCCTCTTGCCGCGTGACCGCGTATCATACTTTGCCCTTCGAGAAAAAAGATTTTTTCATCAAGAAAGTACATTTTTTTATCTTAAAATTTAGCACTTGTGATAAATTAGTTACCTCTGCCACCAGGTTGACTCTCCCATACAATAGGTGTAGGTCGACTACCACGCGATGCTCTAAATGGTGATCTTGATGACCGCCTTGCCGTAGAGCCTCTAGTACCATTTGCTGCAGCTGCAGCATTAGCTGCTTCACGATTTTCTTCTACTTCATCTTCCACTATATCACTTCCTGGTTCTTCAGTTCCTTCGCCAGTATCCACTGCATCATCATCTCCAGAAACTAAAGGTCCAGCCTCCTCTGTACGTTTTTCACTTTCTGAACTCATACCTACGCGCAAGTACATATATGATTATTTGAAATTATTATTAATATTAATACAGCTTATGATAACCACCTTCTGTTGGTGTCGTGCTGATAGATTCTGAGTTTATTTCAGTCTGATTATGTTGTTGATCGTCGACACCGAGTATACGAATACTGGGTATTGCAGGCTCTTCGCTAGTGTCACCGACAGTGGTACCTGTTACTGATACCGGTGTAACTGAAACTGGTGTTTCCTGTTCTTCAGATGGTCCACTGCTTGTCTACAAGTAAATCATTTACTCAAATAACTGATAAAAGTATCATAGTAGTATATAATATATGGTTGATTATTTTTATACCGAAGGTGGTAAATCAGCTGCTGGTGAAACTTGTAAAGGTGTAGTAGGTACACTACGACCGGTACCACCGTCTTCTAATTGAGCGAGATCCATTCGCGTGTCGTCCATGCTTTCTTGAACTACTTGTGCTACACCGGAACTGGATGATCCAAATATCGTTCGGGCAGCTGATCCGGAAGGCGTAGATAACGAAGGAGTTGATGATGCTGTTGTTGGTGCTGACGAATCTCCAAAAGTAAAACGTCCTTGTGGAACTTGAGGTGAACTTACAGCTTCTCCAAATCCATCTCCTCGACGTGGTACGAATAAAGTCGGAGTACTTGGTACTATACTATCGTCGCCTCCATCCTCGTATCCTTGTTGTGGCTAAAATTTATTTTATTAGTGAAGATGTTTTGTCTTTCTAGCTTCGTTTATATAAAGGAAATCGCATACCAAAAGAAGATGTTGTTGTTGTTGTTGTCTAGGCATAGGCGCAATTCCACGCGATGATCGAGTTGCAAATGACGTAGGTGGTTCTCCCGTTGGTCCAGCGCTACTGATCGCTTCAGATTGCTGCTGTTGTTGATTCGTAGGTACTGTTGCCTGAGCTTGTCTAGGAACTTCTACACTCGTAGAATCTTCTCCCATTATGATCTCAACTTCGTTGTTGTCCCTCCCCACTTCTACCTCAACCTCATAAGGCATTTCCTCCTCCTCTTCCATTTCCTCATATGGATCGTTGTCAAATTCTTCTTCTTCCTGCGCCTGATGGTTACCTCCTCCTTCACCTTCATCACAGTCTACTACAACAACGCATCCTTCTTCTACTTCCTCATCTTGATCCCGTTGACTTGATGTCGGTACCTGAAAATCGGATAAATATATTATCCGTTAAATATATATTTACCGTTTATTACGTTTTCTTTTCTCACTATTTAAATTCACCTGGTACTCGACCTCTGAAGCACTTGCGCTAGCGGTAGACGGCATTTCTTGTCTAGTTCGTTTAGCTTTAGGGCTAAGTACTTGCTCCTGTCTATGATCTACTCCTTCCACAATCCCGGATCCCGACGCTGTCGAATCAAGAGCTCTAGGACGTTTATGCCCTGTCGAAGCTTGAGATGTGCTTACTGACTGAGTAGAACTGCTAGCTACAGTTTGTTGTTGATCGCTAGCTGCGGCTTGTTGTTGTTGCTGTTGTTGTTCCACTCTTGGACTGACTAATGCCACAGTCTGTTGCTGTTGCTGTTGTTGTTGCTGACATTGCTGTTGTTGTACACTGAGCGTTTCTGCGCTCTCTGGATCTTCTCTTTGCGTTGACTCCGCCGATTCACTTAACTGTGGTTGTACGACGAGTTGTCGTAAAGTACTCGGTGCTGTCTGCGACGAACTGCTGCTAGTGCTAGCAGGTTGAAAATCTGGAAGACTACTAGTTGGGGAACTCGTTTCGGTAGTATGCACCACTTGCTGTTGTGGCTGTTGTTGCTGATGAGGCGCAACCATTACTGGTGCACTAGCAGTTGTAGGTAAAACGGCTGCTGTTCTAGATTGCACCACTACACTCATAGGACGAATACTAGCTAATGGAGTTTCAGCGCGAGCGGACATTGGTTTAATATTAGCTGTCGGTGGTTCAGTAGTAGCACTAACGCCACTAACACCAGCCAACTGCCGTTGTAACTGAGTGACTCTTTGTACAAGAGTTTCTTTTTCTGCCTGAATTTCTGCCTTTTCGTGTTCCAGACGAGAAATTCTACCTTCCATTTGTGATTTAAGCGCTACAAGTCTAGCATCATGTTCAGCGGTATCTGATTCAGCAGTACCCGCTTCGAGCTTTGCTTTTAAGTCTAGTAATTCCTTTTCGCAAATCTTCTTCGATTCGCTTAATTGCATTATTTTAGTTCTTGCACCTTTTAATACCTGTTTAGCACGCTCCTCTTTCTCAACGCTTGTCTTATTCATAGTGTCGATTTCTTTCTTTAACGTTTCTGCTTCGTTTTGTACTACTATTATTTGACGAGACAGTTCATCAATCTTCGATGTTAATTCTAAATTAGCCTGACGCAATTCTTGTCGACCTTCTTCCCGTAATTGATCTTCACGTTCCTGGGACACATGAGTAGTATCTTCATTTCCTGAAGTACCAGCAGATAATCGAGACTCCTCAGATCTACTCTTTTCTTCCTCGACCGTTTTCGCGAGTTCTTCAAATTGAGTCTTGTATTTCTTCGCTATTTTTCTTATCTGAATTTCTTTATTCTTGATGTCATTCAAAACTGCTTCTTTTTCGCTAAGTTCCTTTTTCAATGTTGCTAAGTCTTTAGCTTTAGAGGTAGAATCCGCGAGAGCTTCGTTCAAATCTTGACCTAATTTACGCGCTTCTTCAGAAACTTTTTGGACTTCCTCTCCTTGCGCTTGCACTTGCTTTTGCAGTTGTACTAGTTGCTCTTCTAATTTTGCTTTCTCCGTCTTTAGTTGATTCAACTCTTCTGTGCGTTTAGCGTGTGTTTCACGTTCAGATGTGAGCAGTTTACTAAGATTTTCACGTTCGGTTTGTAGTCTGCGCCAGTCCTCTGGACTTGCCTTGTTAGCCCTCTCTACCAATGCATTGGCTCTCTGTCTCCATCTAGTTGCTTCTCCTTTGAGACTTGTATTCTCCTGTAATAAAGCTTCAGTTTTTGCTTGTAGATCTCGCGATGTGTCTCGAAGTGGTACCACTTCCTCGGAAAGTGCTGCAACTTTCGCGGTAAGCTCTGAAACCTTTGTACTTAAACTATCCCTTTCCTCTCTTAAAATTCTATTAGAATCTGTAATGGCATTCAAAGTTTCAACTTTTCGTAATAGCTCCGCATGTTTAGATGTTGTTACTACATCGATCTCTGACTTCTCTCTTTCTGAATAAAGAGCAGCTTCTGTTTCTTTTAGTCTCTTCTCTATAACCTATATAAATGTAAGAAAAAGAGCATTAACAATTATATAGTACTAGAAAGTTTGATAAACGAAATTTTCAATAATGAAACTTGATGCTAACCTCCACTTGTGATTTCAATCTAAGATTCTCCGCTCTTAAAACATCGAATTTCGCTACAGCTAAGTCTTTTTCGCGTCTTAAATATTTCATTACTCTTAATAACTGCTCGGCAGATTTAGAATCATCTTCAAGTCCGCTGAAACTACGATTCATAGCTTCTAAACTAGTGTCAGGACTTTCCTGTTCAGTTATCTTCGATTGTTGACTATGCATGATTGCAGTTTTATCACTTAATTCTTGTATTTGATTGTGTAAAATAGCATTTTGTGCATCCAAATCGTCTATTCTTTGTTGCATTTCCTGAATTTCGTCGAATAATTTCTTCTCCCTTTCGCGACAAGCTACTCTCTCAAGTTCTAAAGCTTCTACAGCTGTATTTCTTTCTTGAGTTAAGTTTGCTACTTTTTGTTCTACCGCTTGTGCATCTTCTTTTAGTTTTGCTAATATCTATAATACAACGATAAACATTAAATTGTTATACTATCCACCTCATTACTTGTACAAAGTAAATGGTTATATTTACCTGTAGATCTGATGAATGCAATACCATTTCTCTAGCATACTTCTCTTCGGCTTCTTTGGCCGTTATTGAAGCACTTTGCAAATCACTTTTTACAATTTCTAATTCACCCTTAACTTCGTCTAACTCTTCAAGCTTTCTTTCTGCGTCAGCTAATTTTTCTCTTAATTCTGAATCAGTTTCTTGTCGACCATTAGAAACTTTTGCTAATTCTTCTACTAATTCCTGAATTCTCTTTTGAAGTGACATTACTTCTACACGTGCTTCTTTTAAAGCAGTTTCTAATTCCTCTTTGCATTTATTATGTTGCGTTGATAACTCTCTTAATTGCGCTTCCGCGCTTTCCGCTATATCGCAGTATTGTTGACCTTGCTGCCGTGCAGCTTTTAGTTGCTCTGACAAAGATTTTGCTTCTGCTTGTGTTGTTCCCAGTTGCATCTCAAGTTCTTTTAATCTCTTTACGAGATGTTCATCACCTGTAAGTTTAAATAGGCACAGAATTTTATTTATAATCACTTCTAACTAATTCCTAAAAAATTTAACTATATCGTACCCGTACCAGTGAAAGGTTTCGATATTGAATGGGTAACAGCTTGTCTTAATTTAGTGTTAAGTTCTTCTATGCGCTGTGTATTTTGAGTATCAGATTGACGAGCATTCTCAAGCTCTGCGCGAATTTGTTCAGTTATATTGCGCTCCTCCGTCAATCGTTCTTGAGTTGTAGTCAATTGTCTTTCTAAATGGGTAGATAATTCTCTGAATCGATCCTGTTCCTCTTGCAATCGGCGCCTTAAAGCAGCACATTCTCTTGTAGCATCATCTAAACGTTGTTCAGCACGTAATTGACCCTCAGCTTGAACACGCTCCAAACTTGCTTTAATAGACTCTACATCTGCTCGTAATAAGGCTTGTGTTTGACGTTCTCTCTGATATATTTCACGTTCCTTCAAAAGGCGTCCTTCAGAATCTCGTAAAAGTTGTCTTTCTTGGCGTAAGTTTTCTAATTGTACTTCAGCTCGGGATAATTTTGTTTGAGCTGCTAAAGCTTCATCCTTTAAAATCATTAAACTCTGTTCGTGTTTGCCTGTAAAACAAAACAATTCAATAATTACATAGTACTTTTTATTAATGTACAATATCTAATTGTAATAAATATACAATACCAATGGTCACGTTGTAATTAAAGCATTTTTCTTCAAGGACTTTTATTTGAGACTTATAAGAAGCAACATTTGCTTGTAGAAGATTGAACCTATCATTAGCTGAATCTAATTGTGCTTTTAATCTGCAACATCGGGCCGAACTAGCCTCTGCCTCTTTCCTAAGTCTTTCCACTTCCTCACCTAGCATACGTTCATGCGCTGTTCTTTCTTTTCGATACGTGTCATATTCGTCTGTAACTTGCTTTAATTTAGCTTCACTTTCTATTAATTGTTTTTGCAAGTCCTTTTCTCTGTTAACATCATGTTGAGTGTTTGCAGACACTTCATCTGCAACAGATTTCACTCCATCAACTTCCTTGGCTTCTTCTTCTGGAGTAATGGAAATGTCTTTCTTTTCTGATACATTTGTCTGTTTTAAACATTGCTGATACATATTTTTATACATATCTCGTTGTCGTAGGAGACCATCTAACATCTTTGCTTGTCTATCTTGAGCAGCTTGCATATCTTCTAGTTGCTCAAGATACCTATCTAATTTCTCTTTCATTTCACCAGAATTTATTTCATCTGTTGCTCTTTCAATTTCTTCTTGTCTCGATGATAATGTACGAACTATTGACAATAACTTTTGATTATTTTCTTGTAATTCTTCAATGTCTTTAAAAGTGACAAGCTTTTTACTAATAATTTCGGATGAAGCGAGATTATCCATGTCCATTGAATTTGAAAATTCACTAGTATTAACAGCTGAACCACTTCTACTCTCCTGGACTTCTTTCAGAAGGAAACACACCTGTCTAGCTAAATCGGACAATTCCGTTTTTAACCTTAGATTTTCCTTAGTATGATGTTTAGCAATGCGATTTGCTTCATCTGCCGTTTCTTGCAACTTATGGTTTTCTGCTAAAAGTTCATCTAATCTTGATGTCAATGTTGCAATATTGGTCACTGCAGTTTCATAATCTTCACGTTGTTGTTGCAAGACAGGAGCTTTTTCTTCCAATTCACGTAAAATGACATCCATTTGAGATTTTAGGCGTTCGTTTTCCTCGCGTTCCGAAGTTAATTCGTTTATCACTTCAACTAATTGTGTATAAATCTGTGTAAGACTCAAGCCTTTTCTAAGAACCCGACTAGCTATGGCCGCTGTAGGTGCAAGTTGTTCAACAGCTTGATCTAATCTTTCTTGTTTAATATTCTTAAGCAATTCATTAGCGTGATTTAATTCTTTTGAAAGTTCATCTATCTTTTGCTCCTTCTCTTCTAACTCTTGTTTATGCTGCAAATGAAGTTGAGTATGCGTTGTTTCTAGAGTTCCATATTGTTGAGTAGCATGTTCTAGTAATTCCTGAAGTTCTTTAACCGCGTTACTAAATTCCTCAGCTTTTGCGTTTGCCTCATCAGCCATTCCTTTATAAAGATCTGCTAATCTGGTTTGGGCGCCAATTTCTTCTCGATAAGAAGCATGCATAGAAATTTCATGTGTACGTTGTTCTTCTAGTTTCTGAGCAAGTTCGTCGCAACGTCGTTGAAGGGATGTGTAAGACTCTCGCAATTGTGCTGTAGCCTCGTTAGCAATGCGTAATTCTTCGTCGCGTTGTGTCAAACGGGTATCTGTTAAAAGAGCTCGAGAAGAAGCCTCTGCTCTTGTTGCTTGTAATTCTGACATTCTTTTTGCTAATTCTTCTTCAAGACCTGCCATTTGCTGAGAAAGAAGAGCCCTCTCTTGCTCTAATCGTTTTTCCTTGAATTCAAGAGTCATATCGCGACTGCGAATTTCCTCTGTTTCTGTTAGTGCTTGACATTTTGCAGCAACAGCATTTTGCAATTGAGTTCCCAAAGAAGATAATTCAGTATGCATTCTTTCCATTTCTGTATCTCTTCGTTCAACCTGTAATTGCAGAGCATCCCTTTCATCCACAACTGTATCTCTGTGTCTACGTAAGTCAGCATTTTCTTTTTCTAATCTGTAATATTAAATTTAAAATTAGAATATTGTTATTTATGTATATTAGTGTTATTATATAAAAAATACCTTTTAACAGTCTCTTGTAGTTTTTGTATTTCACTTTTAGCTTGCTCTAAACTACTTTGTAACTCAGTAGTATATTTTTCTGCCAATTCAAATTTTCCTTTGTATTCTTCAAAATTTGATTTTTCCTCTACCAAATCTTTTTGTAACTTGTCTAAAGTTTGATCTGAAATATTAAAAATCAAATGCAGCATTTTTGTTATAACATATTGCATATTGTGCAGGAAAATAATACCAGCAAATTATCCTTATAATTAACAAAATATTAAAAAATTAAATTTCTTTTCATTAATAACTTAATTTTAGCAATATTACCCAAATAAAAATTTGCAATGTATACAACAATTAAACAAAACTAGATATAAGTATTTTTACACTGAAATATCATATATATGTTTAACAAAACAATCGATGTAAACTATTCAATCTATGCGGTATGTCCCCATAGAGAGGTTAACTCCTCCATGTAAATAAACCGGGCGATCGTTACTGTAACAAAAAATGTAAAATTCAATTCGGACTTACCGAAATTTTTTCTATTAGTTTCAAAAACTGCTTTTGCGGTAATATATTGTTCGAATTTTTCATTGAAATAAACGTTTAATTTTTTAGCAAGTCCTTCTGGAATTTGCATCAATTCTTCTTCACTTAAAGCTTCTCGCAACACATTGTGTTCGTTCTCTTCTGTTTTTTCCATTTTGTTTGGGTCGTTTGTGTTTGCTTATAAATTAAACAAATCCTTCTTTTAATTGTGAATTCGTACTTTGTGAATAATTGGGCTCAATCGAAGGCACATTTGATCAAACATTCAACGTATATTCCCTCTTCCTTACAAATCACTATGGCCTTTGTGGAACTGACGCGGATCACTACTAACTCCAACGTTGTGATCAGCCGTATTTAGCGCTAGTGTGCCATTTTGTAATTATGTGGCATCGATCACTAAATAATTGATATATTTACTATTTTTTATGTAAATAATAAACTTAAATAAATGTATGTAATTTTTTCGGTTCGAATTTTTTAGTATATGCTATAACGTTTTTATTTCAAATTTCTTTTCCTTTTTTCATAGTAATTAATTTATATCATAATTTCCCGGTCTTAAATAACAGTTTTTACTAAACAAAGTCATATTAATTCTAATAATATATATTCTTACAGTTTTACGTAATTCACTTTTAAAAAATAATGTTTATAGTTTAGGTGATACTTAGTTTGAAGATAGCAACCATTGAAACCACCATTGAAATTAAGATACAAAATAGTACCTAACGGGAAAAGGAGATGTTCTATATTAAAAGTCACGTAAATTTATATGAAGAAAGTTATATTTACTGAGTTAATAAAGATTAACTAACATATTAAATATGTTCTCCTTAAACAGACACGGTTTTGTATATATTAAGAGTCTTATAGGTTATACGCATTATCAATATCATTACATCAAACAAGTCAAACAATATTTACACGTACGGAACGCGTATCACCACATTAATTGTACAAAACATGATGAAATACATTTATCTAGTATATTGTGTTCCAGAAAAAATAGATGTAACAGAAGAAATGATTTAAATGTTCAAAGTAAAGTGTCATATTTATCAATTTGCAGCAAAAAGTTTAGTACAAAGGCAAATACAAAAGATGCCAATATATTTGGAGATATTTCGTATGATAGATATGAGAGAATTAAAATGGATGAAGCTGAACAAGAAGAAGAGAAAATTGCAGACTATATAAATATTCCAAAATGGCAAAGATACACCTCTGATGAATACTGTCAACTCATTAAATCTCATATAATTAATAAAGATTTACAGTTGGCATTAAATGTACTGGATTTAATGAAAGAGAATAGAGAAAAACCTACTTCATATATGTACAAGCTTTTAATTTCTGCATATGCAAAGCAAGGTGATGTAAAACAATGTTTTACATTATTTAGAAAAATGAAGCAAAGAGGTTTATTTACTTCTCCAAGTATATACACTAGTCTAATTAATGCTTGTTCTGAAACAACTGATACAGAAAAAGCATTACAATGTTTGACATATATACGTGAATATTTGTATGAAAGAAAAATAGAGTTAAACAAGCTTCATTATACAACTCTTATTAAGGCTTATAGTCGGCATAAACAAATTTTAACTGCTTTTGAAATAGCAGATGAAGCAAAAGATAAAGGAATTTGTACACCAGGTATAATTGCTGTTTTATTTCATGCAGCAATTTCTGATAAGGAAAATGGATTAAAACTTACTTTGATGTTGTGGCATAAAATGAGGGCAACTAAAATAAAACCAAACATACTACATTATAATCTTCTCTTAAGAGCAATAAGAGAAACAAAGCTGGGTGACTTAAAAGTAAATGATATTTTAATACCAGAGTTAAAGGAAACTCAAGTCCAACTCAGTGAAGTAACAAGACCAGACTTATTAAGTTCTCCTCCAGTATTGAGTACTTCACTTATTCCTATACTAAGGAAAAATAAATCTATAATATCAAATGACAGTAATTTAGATGATGTTGTTGAAGAAACACAGTTTCAAAATCTAAATGATATATTATGTGAAAATCGGTTAATTTTATTTGGTGGAATTGAACAAATATTAAAACAAATGAAAGATAATGGTGTAGAACCTAATATAAAAACATACACATTACTTTTGGATTTACTTCCATCTACAAATGAAGCAGAAAAATATCTTCTTAAATATATTGAAGGAAATCATTTTCAACCTGACCTAATCTTCTTTAATATACTTATTAAAAGAAGAAGTCAGAGGAAACGATATGAAGATGCCAAAGTAAGTAATTATAGGAGTTGAATTAAATATTCATAATCTTTCAATACTGTTATTTCTTTATATTTTAATACAGGCTGTTCTTAATCTAATTCAAATGCATCATTTTACGCCAAATATTTATACATTTGAGGCATTAGCTCTTGGATGTATAAGGCATAAAGATGGGATAGAACTTTTACAACAAATGGAAACCATTGGTTATGCACCAGATAATACAATTTTAGAAAAATTATTATTCAATGCATGTTATCATAAACATTTCAACTATATATTATATTTAATGGATTATGTATTAAAACATCGAATTAAATCAACAGCAAAAATATTAGCTATGTTAGAAAAATTTGATGGGCTGTTATTAGAATGGACTACAGATGGGGTATATGTATAAATTATCTTAAATGTAATTTTAGAACATGTATAACTTTTAATGATCTATTTTGATATTTATTATTATTCTAGGGTGAATACAATTACAGGAAAATGAATGCAATCAGGAAAGATTATAACAAATTTAAAATAAAGTTTGAAAATTGGAAGGAGAAGTTACAAAAATATGAAACTATGATTAAAGGACCAAAATAAGTTTCCTCTTTAATTTTGGCAGAAAACAAAAAAATTAAATTAAATTACGTAAATTAGATATATCCCTCTTCTTTATAAAATATGAACCTCATATAAAAGTTACTTTCACATTGAATTTATTATTATGAAATCCTTAACTGCATTGTAAGTAGGAAATCAGATTATTAATGAGCATTAATTTTTTCTAAATTAACCAAACTAGCGAAGATAAGGAGGTCGAGTTTCTTGTGTCCAAGGGCGGCTTCTGGTTCCTGTGTTGATTGTGCGTGAGGGACACGTTCCGCGAATACTAAGTTTATTATAACCTGTAGGTCCAGTTGGTTGTGCTCCACATGTTTCTAATGCTACAAAATCATCTACGTGAAGAGATGGTGGCCGTGAAGTGTTTGGTGGTCTTGATCTAAACGGATCCGCTCCTCTACCTACACTTCCTACCACTGGACCACCTCTTAAAGAACTGGTAAATTGTGTTCGACCCCGCATGGGCGTAACTGTAAGGAAAGATTTTTTAATCGTATTATTATTAATTTTTGATAATATTTGATTAACATACAATAAATATATGCAACTTACCAAATGGTTGTTTCACTTTAGAAACGGGAGATGTTGATTGTTTCTGAACATCTCTAGTTTCTTGATCATCAGTTTGAGTTTTTGATTGTAATGGTTGAGTTGCATCATCAGGTGGTGTTTTAGAACACAAATTTTGAGCTTCTGTTAATAAATTAAAATCAGCTGGAAGCAGTTCAGCTGCAAGCGTTAATAAGTCCACTGTATTTTCATTTGACGCTTGATTTGGAGACATAAATGTAAATTTTTTCGGACGTTTAGAAGTAAGGTCTGGGGTTCCTAAGCAACGCTGAGAAAACTGATTTAATAAAGCTTCAGGAGTTGGTAATAATGGTTCTAACATTTCTGGAATAGGTTCCTTTTCTTCCTTATCTTCAGCAGATTTAAAAATTTCAAGTAATTCTTGTGCATTTTTTATCTTTTCCAAAGGATGGTCATTCTTGTCCCATAATATTAGAGCTGCTAGTTGTTGTACACGTAGATATAAAGATCTTCCTTGTGATTCAGAGGCAATTAAATTTTCTAAAAATATTATAGTTAAATCCACAACAGATTGAGCTTCTGGATCTTCTAAGGCAGAAATATGTTCTAATAACGATCGTAATGCATCAGGATTATTTTCTAAACAACTTTTCACATGATATAAACCATAATTATGACTAATAAGAGATAATAGTATGCGAAGTGTACTTTGTAGTATCTCTGGCTCAAATTTTGTACTAGTTGCCAATATATCAATTAATGCAGCCAGAATAGATAAAAGTGGTTCTTTACTTGGTACTGAATGTGTAAGTCTTTTTTCAAAGGGTTCAGTAGTATCTTCTTGCATAAGACTTAGTGTACAATCACACAATGTTTCAAAGATATCAAGAATTTCATATTGCATTCTAATTTCGTTTGTATTTTTAAGCGCTATACACATCATTTCAATAACAGGTGGATACTTTTGATCAGATTTAACTTGTGCTCTAGATGCAGGACTAGTTAATGTTAACAAAGTAGCTTTCATAGGTGCATGCCTTGTAAGTTCACTAAGTAAAGCAAGAATTAAAACATTATTTTCTAGTGGCGTGGCAGCTATTATACCATCTAATAAACATCTGCCTACAAGTAATGCTGTAGGAGCTGCTAAATCACTTAATTGCTTACATACTTTTGAAAGAAGAACTAATAAATCCTTATTCCAACTAGCACAAAGTAATCGCAACGTTTCAGTTAAATTATTAGCTTGAGCCTGCAAGTGAGCTGACCATAATTTTCTAAGACCTAGAACTCGAATAGCATCTTCAGTCATTGTTTCTTTCAAAGTCAAAACAGGTGGTAGCAATCTAGTTAGAAGTTTTAAGCCAGGTATAAAGTTACATGGGCTTAGAGAAACCATCTTGAGAACTTCACCTAACATTTGTGTCCACAATGATTTTGCTACATTTCCTGATCCATCTGAGTCCACAGCCTGTGTAAATACTAAAAGAGTTCCTACTATTTCTTCAGATAAAGTTTGAACAATTCGAATGGGAGGAATGGCTTCAACTAATGAATAAACACCAAGTAGTGGTACTACAGCTGTCAAATCTTTGAAATCCGTAGCCATGCATTTTACAAGACGTTCTAATAATGCCCTTGTTAATCTTACACATGGAAGAAGTAATGCAACTAAAGCTAAACCCCTTCTACCTGTTAAAGCAGCACGATGCAAAAATGGCTGTTCATAAAATTCCGATATATTTGCCATAACTGCAATAAGAGCTGTTAAACCATCAGCAGCAAATAATTGAGTCAATGCATTTCTATACTTTAATTCAATGTAAGGTTCCATTGGATCCACGTCATTATTCGAAGGAAAAACAAGATAATATAAAATTCTACATGCTGTAATTAATTGTCCTGGAAGTGATGCAGCTTTGTCTGCACTTTTTCTAATACACGCAACAAGTGGAGAAACATCTCCGTAATTCCAATGAGATGGTTGTGCAGCTGTAGTTAAATACAATGTAATATCTTTTAATACAGCTTGAATTCGTGACTTTTCTAAAATAATTGCAGCACGATTTTGAAATACTTCTATTCGATCAGAATAACGAATTGTTGCTGATATAATTTCCGCAGAAAATTCACAGAGATTTGGATCAGAAAGATAAGGAATTAAAATATCAATAAATTCTCCTGTAGGAAGAACTGTTATTATAGCTTGTAAACCTTCAGGAAATATTAAGAAAGAATGAAGTTTTTTTAAAGCCATCCAATCAGAAGATTGATATTTTAAACGTAATAGACATTGTACAACTTGAAGTCGCCAAGCTAAAACCGATCCTGCTCCAGGCAATTCACATTTTAAAGCTTTCAGAATTAATTTGGTAACTTCCGGTTCTTTTAGTAAATATAATAAACCTTCTTTTGTATCGGAAAGACGTAAAAGGAAACGGCGTGTAGCTTTAATCAAATTTATATCCGATTTTGGAGAAGTAAGTGCAAATAGAATATGATACAACAATTTATGATGTTCAAAATATGCTATTAAATGACATCGAGGATTTCGATTATGTTCTCGTTCAAATTCCATTTGAGCACCAGCTGGCAGTTGACGTTTTGGTTGAGCCATTAATGTAGGTGAACATATATATGTATTTGTTAATTCAGTAATAGCCAATTCATCAAGTTCTTTCATTTCGTCAAGAAATTCATATGTGTGTACTTTTCGTAGTAATGAACTTAAAGCATACTTCAATCTTGCTAGTTTTGCTGTGTCCAACATCATTAAAGCATTTTTATACAGATTGCTCTTTGATTTAAGAAACTCTTGAACAATTATTGGACTTATCAATGCAGCATCCAACGTTCGAAGTGCAGAAAGCTTCACGGGAAGTGCTACATTTTCGCGCATGCACAATGCTAATAATTTATAAGGTGCATCTACTTTTAATAATATATCTGGACCTTGTGGAAGTTTACATAACGTTTCTGCTAATCGTACACCCACTTTGACATGACGAACTTTGTAAACTGGTTGTGGTTGAGCACGAGCAAGATCCATATCTAAACCAGCATTCACAATATTAGTCAAATCATTAAAATCCGTGTTACTCAAGTGAAAAGGACTAAGTATCGCGCATAAAGATTCACAATTGTGAACAAATGTTTCTTTTTCTTGACCTGATGCATTATTAAAATGTAAAACTGATTTTGATAAAGACTGAAATATTTCATGTATCTTGTCCAGCATTTCCTTACTAATATGGTATTCTTCAGTAACATTCATTGATTCTTCTAACTCCAGCAGATCAGGGGGAGTTAAAGAATAAATATCATTTAACTGTACATTTTCGCACTCATACTCTGTAGTAGGTGGTATATCATCTGTCATTATATCTTCATCAGATAATATAGGCTCAAATGGCTCTCCTGTTTCTTGTTCACCTCCATCTTGTTCTCCTTCTTCCTCTTCAGCTGATATAGATTCAGGACTTAAGGACACTAAAGATTCAGAGGGTGGTGAAGAAGGACGTTTTGTAGATTTTAAAGTACTATTTGTTGCATCTTCTTCCCAATGTCCCACTTCTGTCTTTCCAGTATCTGAGGTTGAATTTCTTGATGATTCTACTATTTGAATTGGTTGTATAGGAGGTGGAGGTGTTGCTGCTACACATGTTTCCTATCAATTCCATGCAAATATTTTTAAATTATTAATTAACAGTAAATTGTATAAACTTATATTTCAATAAAAAAAACTTACATTTGAATTTGTTTGTGCTTGATTTTCATAGTACCACTCAGACTGCTGTTCTGAAATTTGAGTAGTATTTTCTACAGCTTCTTCCAGTCCACTTACACAAGCTGAAGAACCAGCAGCTGAACTGACAACTTCTTGTGGGTTATTCAAAGATTTTGTTAATGTTCCATATACTGCTAATGTAATGGTAGTATACCAGCCTCTTAATACCAATCCATCTGTTGGTATTTGTTTTCTCTCACATTCTAATTGAATGTGAATATTTTGTTTATATTCCAACTCTCCAAGAGATTCGAATGTAGAGGCACCAGGTTTACTTAAATCATTTACAAAAAATTCAATTTCAAATTGAGATGGGTTTGTTGCTCTAAAATTGAAAAAATGAATGAATATTTTACATGGGAAAAAGTAATTTTTGTATTCAAACATGTAAAACAATTATAACAAAGTATTTAAATACCCTAAGCGAACACCTCCAGGAAAGTCTGCTTGTACTCTAGCACCTAATGGGATAATTCTAACTTCACTGATATAAACTGGTTTTGGAAATTGTACTAAATCTAAATTAAGTTCCTAAAATGAATAAACAAAATGAAAGTTGTTGTACATATTGTTGTTCCATTGAAAAAACAAATAAAATAACCTTACACTTACCTCAGAAATGTCATGTGAAAATGTATCAAAGAATAACAATTCTGTATTGTCCATGTTTTATTTATTTCAATATAGAATACTTTGAAATAGCATCTTCCTATAAAAAATTAGAATTATGTTGACATTGTTTTGTTTCATAAAAAATAAATATTTCAAGCATTTAATATTGTTTTCTTCAATGATTACACACTAAGACCACATTTTACTTAAATATTAACACTTAATCATAGATAGAACGTCAATACTCATAACATATTTTACACTACAGTTAAATATTATTTTAAAAATGAAATTACTTTCAGTACATCATTGATACAATGTTTGTATACATAACTTCAATATCAATTTTGAACTTATATTAAAGAAATATTTGTTCTTGTATTAAATGAAGGATAAGAAAAAGTGTAACAGTAAGATGAAGTTAAAAATATTTAATTTAAAAAAAATTTTGATCCTTTATATTAAGCTATACGTGTTATTTTTCATCCTTTTTATAATGATATATATTTATTTAATTCAAGTAACGCCATCTGGTTCCGTCTAATACCTACCTTCGGTTTTATTCGTTCTACTTCGTTATGAGAGAAATTGTAATGACTAATACCTGTGCAATCTTCCTTGCGAATAAATTTTTCTTTCCGTTGTAAATTTTTGTCCGCGATAGAACTTAAATTTTACGCATTTTATACATTTACCCGATTTTAAAGGGTGCTTTTTATATGTATTTTATAAGTAGTACTTATTGAATAGCTGTGATAACGACATAACTGATCTGCGTCACTGGTTGCGTTCTTGATTATTTGTAAATTTGTTTTAAATTGTGATACGGCTGCAATGAAACAAAAGTTATATTAGATCAGTAAGTGTGAGGAGAGTTTTTGCTATAATTCATATTGTACGACATTAGGACATTGTAAACATCTTGAACATTGTTATTAAAAATTAACAAACATAACGATACCGTTTGCATTAGGATCTTTCGTATTATATTTTGTAACAATATGTACGATTGAATTTCAGTTTTAAAACAGGTGAAAACTTTTGTTAACATTATTTTTAGATTCAATACCATGTATGCATATGTTCTAAATTCATGAGGAATAAATGAATTACTGTTAAAACGTTTACGAAAATATGTCTATGTATGTATAATTAAGTGATAATGAGAAACATGTTTAAAAATGTCAGATGTGATACATATTTGTTTTTAGGAATGGTAGCTGCTGGAGCCACAGTTTTAATGGCAACCAGTGAAGAAAGTTCTTCAAATGGAACACAAAATAATTCCACACGATATGAGAATCAAAATGTTTGTTCTCATTATAATGAAGTGCATCATAATCAGCAAAATTCAGAATGTCCAATTAAAAAGAATATAACATCCTGTACTGTGAATAGTAAGTATTTTAAATAATAGAAAATATCTAAAATATTTTTAAACCTCTTATTAAATTCTATATACATCAATTTAAATATCTATCATTGGTATAAAACAATTGCTAAAAAATACATAAATCTTTAGAATATTTGCTTTGTACTTCAATCTGATACAAGTAATTGTCAATGTTTTTGCAATAGAGAATAAAAGTCGTAGCTCCATGTTGGAAAAGAATAGTCGGTTGATTTCAAGATCAGAAAATAAAGAGAGTAGCAAGAATCTTGCATTGTATAAAACAGCACCAATTCGTGAAACTAAAGCTTCTAGATTACGTGCTGCTTCAATTTTACAATCACCTAATGGTAAGTATCATTTTAAGGTAATATTTTCAGTAATATTTAATATTTTTAATTTGTAATTTATACTATGTATTCCATTTACACAGGTGGAACAGTGTTATCAAGGAGATTAGGTATGTCTGAAACTTCTACACCTTTGGGTCTTCAACCTAGTACTAGTTTATCAGTTAAAGATGTAAGTAATAACATTTAATGTATAGAACACATGTATTAATATAAAAAATTACATGTAACATTACATACAGGAACATTCAATATCAAGTAATAGTAGTATTATAAATTCTGTACGAGAAAGGGATAAAAGCTATAAGCGAAAATCATATTTAAATCGGTCACTAAATATGGAAACAACAGGAGATCGTTCCAATCAATGTAAGTAATTCAGTAACATAATTACCTACATTATAATTTCATGTTATTTATTTTACTAAAAATTTCGTATGTATTTTAGCTGAATGTAATATTAGACAAACCAGAAGACAATCAAATAAACAAGGTCACATATCTGATGCAATATCTACTTCAAATTCTAGTAATCAACATCAAACAACAACTAATTTAAGTAAAAAATCTCTTGAGTCAAAAGTGGCTTCCTCAAAAGTTAAAGAAAATTATTCAAAAACTTATACATTGCCTTCTGTTAACTTTCCTGTTAATACTAAACATTCAAATATACAACGAACTACTAGGTAATTTTTTTTTTTTTATAATTTATTCTTTTATTTTTTCCACATTAAATATGGAACTATTGTACAATTTTCCTTCATAGTAGCGGCGGACATAGTGATTCAGAAGTTTCGCGAAGAGTTGATGCATTAACAGCATTAACAAAATCTGCGATAGAACGCGTAGAAAGACTTGCGTCGCACGTAAATCTATCGACAAATTATGGACCACGGTTGGAGAACCATTTATCTAATACAACATGCCAAGGAAATTCTTCTACTACTACAGAAAGTAATACAAGTAATGCGCGTGCATTGCAATCATCACCAAGAAAAAGTTCTATTTTAAAAAAGGCAAATGATGAACACTCTCAAGAAGGACCTTTAAATCATCAACATACACCAGTTTCAATTCTCAAACATAAGATATCTGATAGTGATACAGGTCAAAATTTATCGAATTCTGTGGGCCATACAGTTTTACCTGTGACATTTTCACCGTCTGTAATGGAACCGACGCATAAAAGACATGGCATTTTAAAGAAACGTAGTAGTTTGGATGAAAGTGAAATACTTCGGCGGCGTAGTTGTTCACCCGACATTTCATCTACCGATAATACATATTCTGAATTCAGGCCAATATTAAAGAATCAAAGGCGATCATCTCTGGACGAAATTATCAAAAGGGTTCAGAGTCCAGATCCTCAGCCTACTTCCATATTAAAGAGAAAATCATCTAGAGAAGATGATAGGGAGGATCGCCAGGTTGGTTCTTTAGAACCGCAGGGTATACTTAAAAGAAAGTCTACAAATAGCCTACGAACAACTAGCGTTAATCATCATGTGACCATTACAATGGATGCAACAAGTGTGAGTGGTCCCGAAATACTAGACAGTTCCGAAGTGAGGCCAATCTTAAAGAAAAAGCACAGTAGGGAAGAATCATTTGGTAGCGATCCACCATCTTTAGAACCACGACCAATACTGAAGAAAAAGTCAAGCACTGAATCAGATGAACACGACGATAAACCGAAAAAAACTATTCTAAAATGTACTCGGAAAAACTCACAGGATGAATGTAATTACGAAACAGAATTAACGTCACCAAAAAAATTGTCAATGCTTAGAAATCGTGCTTTACAAAGTAGAACAAGTGGAGCGTTGGAAAATGATCCTGTACGACCTATATTAAAGCAATCTGGCAATAGAGACAACGAATTGCGAGTCCGTCAAACAATCATTAGTGATGATATATCTGCTGAGCCAGCAGATTTATTTTTGCGAAAAAGAGCTCAATCTGTGGGTCATATGCAACCCTCCAGCATTCCTATTGAATTCATTGGTGTACTTAACAAACGAAGATCTCTTGAATTAATATCTGTGAACGATACATCGGAAGAAAATACGCAAGCGAAATTAACAACCGATAGCGTCTATTTAAAAACAAACCTTTCTCTGAGTGATGAGAGTGCCAATACTTCTACTGTTCCTTCTGACACACAATACAGGTATGTAAGACAAGATTTATAAATATATAATTTTAGAGAATTAGAGTAATATTATTTAAAA